ATTAAATAAAAATATATCATTTATATTTATATGTGTATCTATAACATATATAAAGGCAATACTTGGTTTTTGGTGTAGCTTTTTACCCTTATTTTAAAATATATAACTTACACAATAACTTCTATTGAACTACTACTATCATCTTTCATATAACTCCCTACTAATAACTTCTCACATAACTTCCATGTAAAATTAATATTAAATAAAAATATATTATTTATATTTATATGTGTACAATAAAAAAGCGGACAGACGGGCACACGAGTGCCCGTCTGGACGCTAGTCTATAACATATATAAAGGCAATACTTGGTTTTTGGTTTAACTTTTTTTTATACCAAATTTACCCTTATTTTAAAATATATAATTTACACAATAACTTCCATTGAACTACTACTATCATCTTTCATATAACTCCTTACTAATAACTTCCCACATAACTTCCATGTAAAATTAATATTAAATAAAAATATATCATTTATATTTATATGTGTACAATAAAAAAGCGGACAGACGGGCACGCGAGTGCCCGTCTGGACGCTAGTATAATTAAAAATAAAATAAAATGTGAAAATAATATTAACACACTGTAAAAATAAATAAATAAATATATAAAATTCAAAGTACATACTGTAATTTATAAAAATGATTATCTCGTAATTAAACAAATATAAGTAAATGTTGTAATTAGTAAAAGAGAGATATATATTAATTTTAAAAAAGAAGTATATATATTATAACTAAATAAAGAAAAAGTATAATTATATGTTAATAACAAAAACAAAAAACATTAAAGTTAAAAAGTATATATATATATATATATATATATATATATATATATATATATATATATATATATATATATATATATATATATATATATATATATATATATATATATATATATATATATATATATATATATATATATATATATATATATATATATATATATATATATATATATATATATATATATATATATATATATATATATATATATATATATATATATATATATATATATATATATATATATATATATATATATATATATATATATATATATATATATATATATATATATATATATATATATATATATATATATATATATATATATATATATATATATATATATATATATATATATATATATATATATATATATATATATATATATATATATATATACACACACTAGAGGTGTCAATAAAATCTATTTAGATAATATCCATCCAATCCATCAAATAAAAAGATATATACACTAGAGGTGTAAATAAAATCCATTTAGATAATATCCATCCAATTCATCCAATAAAAAGAAGTATATATATATATATATATATATATATATATATATATATATATATATATATATATATATATATATATATATATATATATATATATATATATATATATATATATATATATATATATATATATATATATATATATATATATATATATATATATATATATATATATATATATATATATATATATATATATATATATATATATATATATATATATATATATATATATATATATATATATATATATATATATATATATATATATATATATATATATATATATATATATATATATATATATATATATATATATATATATATATATCCTAAACTTAAAACAAGGTTAAATATATCTAAATAAATAAATAAAATAGTGATCATATTTATATACATAGAAAACATAAAATAATATATATTGCACGTACTATCCCGACATATGTTTAAGAATCACAAACAAATATATAGAGTATAAACTGAACATGTATATATGAAATACAAACGATAAAGTGACAATATAAAATAAAAATTGAAACTATACATAAGAAAATCAAACAAAAAGAAACAATATAAAGATACACATAACATACATGTAGAATGAAGAACAACAGTAGATCCGAAAAGGAAAAAAAATATTGATGCTCATATATTTCGGTTCTCCCTTTTCTCTCATATGCTGCTAGTGCTGGTCCTTTTTTTTCTTGAGTGTTGGTCTCTTGCCCTCTTTTATAGACATTTTGAATCTTGACATTGAGATATTGATTTGGAAGGAATTCAAATTTGTCTGAAACATTTTTTGTGATTTTGAAAATTTTCTTCTTTCATTCAAACATGTTTGGATTATGTTTAAGACTTGTTTTGCAATGAATCTTGAATAGGTCTTGAGATTTTATTTTAATTTTTTTTATGACTTTTTTTATTTATTTAATACATAAAATAAAGATTTAAAAATAAAAAATTATTTTTTAAAATATTCCTAAATAAAAAAAACGAAAATAATAAATAAATAATGAAAAATGATCTTTAAACCCTTTTATTAATGAAAACACACAAAAAGGAAAATAAATACAAAATGTAATACAATAGGACAGACTTGAACCCACAACCTTATGATTAAACCTCTTACCCATAGCTTCTTACCAACTATGTCATCTCATTTATTCTTAATAAAATCCACTCGAAAGCATATGAAGGGTGGACAAAATTAGGGTATGACAGATTCCACTATTTATTAACTTGAACCAGAAGGTATGAATGACAGTGGTCTTCGTACATTCTTGGTGGAAGTTATTTAATTACGAAAAGATCTCATGTTTTGTCCTAAAAGGTGGACATGAAATGCAAAGATGCAAAACTGAATCTTAGGATCAAAAATTAGGGTATGCCAGCATGTGGTACCAATCAACAAAATTCGATGGACATTGTGCCATCAATCCTCCATAGATCCCCAACAGTATGATCGATTCTACACGAGAATCGGAGCACAACAAAATACCTCACATTCGCACAATAGGACTGAAGCCACAAATATCAAGGTCCTTAACCGAAGTCCGGATGCATATGAATGCATGATGCACACGTCAATATCATCCTCATAATAAACTCATTAGGTGCATCATCATTCATCATAATAATCATGTAATCATTAATCATTAAAACTCATGGAATCAACATCATAACTCATCACCATTACTCTTAGGAATCATCATACAATCATGTAATAATCACTTAGGAATCATAGTCATGCTCATGGTAATTCATCAAAGAAATCACAGCATCAAAACATCAAAACATCACCGCACAAGATCAGAGTTCACGAAACTATGTTACGTTCGTTAGCAAGTTCACTGTGCGAATCCGGGGTGTATTCGCCGTGCGAACTCGAGATTACAGCAAATCGCTGTTACGCACCAGCACCAAAACCAGTCCAAAAACCTCTACCATTTCCTTCTCCAATGCCCAAAAAACATCTCTAAATCATTCCTAAGGTATTACGGCGATAAAGGCACAAAACCTATGACTTATTAGGCCAATCCCGCATCATATTTACGTCTCCAATTCTCATAATTTCTTACAACTATGCCACAGTCATTAAGGTCCTCATAATCAATTACCCTACATGGTTAAAACCTCAATAACATATTTTGGCCACGAAGGCCTAATTTCCCTTATTCTCAAATCAGCCTCAAACCTATCAGACCATCCGTTCAAATTCCTCAAACTCATTGAACTCACCATCAGAAAGGCAACAACAATTCAATACTCAAAAATTCCTAAACCCTTAAATCAACTTTAAATACATTGAATCAGCAATACTCCTCATACCTTAATTGCCGACTCTAAGCCTTGCTCCTTGATTCTTGAAAACCTTGCAAAGCTTTTGCCTCAATCCTCTTCCTCAGAGCTCTGACCTCTATTTCTTCTCTTTTCACGGTCTAACAAGAATGAATCCTAATTCCCTCAAAATTCATTTTTGTTAAACCTAACTTTGGGCCTTAAAATTGGGCTTTCCAACTTCACCATCACTAACTACTCCTCAAATGTTCACTTTGCCCTTAATTCACTTATATTTATTTAAATTAATAATAATACCAATATATTCATATTATATACTATTATTTAAATAAATAACTCAGAACCCATAATTCCCAATATTCACACTAACCACCGAAAATCATCAAAAATGTGAACATTCATATTTAAATAAATTAAATAAATATTCCAAAAATTTGGGGTGTTACAACATGCCTTAGAGAAGATGAAATCAGAGACACATGAACTCGGGACGACGATGTTTTTACATCAAATGACACAAACGATGCATGTTGGATCACTTTACCATATCTCAATCTTTCATACTTATCAAATATTCTATCTTTAATTAAACTAGAAAAATCATATCATAATCAAAGAAGTCAAATCCATGAGACATAATAACACTATCAGTCAATATGTGCATATCAAAAAAATTCAGAAGTTAACTTTTATACCAGATCGTTTGAAAGATAACATCTGTATCAAATGAAACCAAAAGAACTTAGAAATGTAGCACCTAAACTCTAAATTTGAAAGAGTCCGAAAATTAAGTTTTAAATTCTAAAGATAAGCAATCCCCTCCTAATATAAGATAGATCCATATCCTAAATTTACCTAGCTAAATTGTCATGTCAAAATCTTAACCATTATTGTAACCTCATGGCAAAGATTTATTCCAAAAATCAGAGAGTGAGGAAGTGTGACAAAAAGCATCTCAAAGACAATAAACTTCTACATTTGGTTTAAGCATTTTTTTCTTAATTTCTTTAAAAGCTTGCTTCAAATTTAGGAAATGAGATTTTATTCGGACAGCCAGATTTGTTCTTACTACTAGATTGTATGCAGTTTAATTCAAATCCAACTATATATAGTATCAAGCATGCATTGAATAAGAAATAGTTAAAAGATCAAGAGTAATGAAGAAGAATAAAGGAAATAAACAGAGAATAATATTTATTGAAATCCAACAACATGCAATTATTAATTAAGTTTGACGACATGAATAGTTCATCAAGCTTAATTGAGCAAATAGTTGTTCAGTAGCACATATAAATACCACTGTCATAAACTTTATTAAAGCATGTGATCAAGATTGTTATCATCTCAATCATCATAGCAAGAAAACACAAGTATAAAAAAAACAACTTCATGGAAAATATCGAGATGGCCCAGCTTCAAAAGGATTTGCATATAGTGGCTTGTGTATATATTTTCGAGCCCATACATGCTTCCCATTAATGGCAAATTTCATCCTTGGCTGATACTCAAGAAAATGGTCAATTACGCTGATAGCCTCTGGTCGAACAACGAGACGAGCATACAGTGGTTGCTCAGCCGGATTTGATTCTTGCATGATCAGCCTGTCAATGATATCTCCACAGTTTCTGTTTGGACAGTAATATTAGGGGGAGAAATTTTGCATAATGAAAAAAGAGTTAGCTAATTTGTAAGATGTAATATTATTGATTATCAATCAAACAAGTATGTAATGTTTAGCTAACTCATTTATATAATTTATTTGCTTTTATGTGTGTATATTATTTTGCTTCCAAGAAAAATATCTAAATAATATGAGTAAATATAAAATTAGTTTTAAAAGAAATTTACATAAATGTCTCAAAAATAGTTTAAGGTGGATACTTAGCATTTTTAATAAATTATGAATATTACTACAATAAAAAATTGAAATTAATATAATATGATATTAAAATTAGACCTAGTATCTCTTTTGATTTCGGATATTAATATGAGAGTTTATTTTGGTTCTTCAAATTATAAAATTTTATATTGAATTCTTAGTTCTTTAAAATACATCATATTAATTATTTTCGTCTAATTAACGATAGAAAAATTTCAAAACCGATCACTAAACTAATTTTTAATTAAACAAAAATGATTAACATGACATATTTTAAAAAATTAAAAAAAACAATATAATTTTTTTTAAATTAATAAAAAAATATTAATTAAAGCTTATAATTAATATGGTCATTCTTTTATATTAAACACCAAGATATAATAAATTAAAATATTGTATAATTGGGCTATAAAAAAGTCTAAAGAAGGACTTTTTGTTTTCTTAATATATCTTTTAAATTTTTATTATTATAAAATACATTTTTTAATTAAAATTTAAATCCACCTTTGACTAATTATCGAGGTTCATTTTATACAGACCCTTCATAATTGTATAAAAATTTATATAAATAATTTTATACAGTTAATTAATATATTAAATAAAATTAACAAAAAAAATATATTGATTAACACTTGCAAAAGAAAAAAGTACGGTGACACGAATTCGAAGTCAAAATTCTATCTAAAATAGACAAATAGGTAAAACATGTATAATGAATAAAATAAGCATGGTTATTTTTATAACTATAATATTATTTTTAAAACTGTATTACGTAACTATGGGCGTAAATAAAAAAAAGTAAAAAAAAAACATAAAAGGGTACCTGGTGAAAAAATCTCTAAGCTCAATCTCAGAAATGGGATAGCCCTTGGAAAAGGTGATGAAGAGGGTCCTATCATCGATTGGCTTGTTCTCATTCTCATCAGGAGGAACAATTCCAGTATCAGCAGAATAAATATCGTCCAGATTCAAATTGGACAAAATCTGGTTTATATCTTGTCCATTATTTTTAGTGTTAGCAGCAGTAGTTCTAAACTCATTATAGTGTGGCACCACTCGTTGTGGAACCATGTGAACAGCATTAGGAGGAGCATAATACATGATTTGTGGTTGAACTTGAATCTGAGGATCAGCAGTATCAGCATACACATTAGCAAGATATAGTTCTTGCTCCTTCACAGCTCTCTCATAATAGGCCTGTTCAATAATGTCTGAAAAAGCTCTTACACAGACATCATTGATGAACTTTGTGATCTCAGTAATCACATCCAGACGCTTGTCATGAAAATACTCCAGTGTCACATTGTGACACAAGATGTGTTGAATCAACAGCAACTTACTTTCGCTTGCACAAGCGTTAGGGTATTCAGAGTTCTCAATGCACTTCAGAAGGACCACAATCTCATCAGCCAGATTGCGTACCATAACGTCTGGCCAGCGTCGAAAAATCTTTAAGACTAAATTATAGTCTTTGGTTTTTCTTTCAACCCACATTATGAAAGCCATTACATTTATAGATTCCGAAGTTTCTCGACCAAGCTCCATCACCAAACGACTGAACAGCTGTCGATCTACGCTGTGAAACAAGTTGAACTCTTCTTTCGTCACAATTACATTGAAACCAGGGTCTGGATTTGGTAGAGATGTTGGTAAAATGAAATTCATTGCAAGATGATGCTTTTTTTTTTTGGTATAAAGGAGATGGTGTTGATTATGATGATTATTTGCTCTCATTTATAAGGTTGTAATATTATTAAAATAATAAAAAAATTTGACTCTTTTTAAAGTAATATTAAACAATGACAATTTTTATTTGAATTTTTGAAAGGTAATTTATTAAGTTTTTTTTTCTTTTCAATAATGATAGTATTTATAAAATATCCTCAAAGTCAAATAAATAAGTTGCAAAATGAAATAATTCAAAAATATATTACTAAATTTTATTTTTGTAATATATATATATATATATATATATATATATATATATATATATATATATATATATATATATATATATATATATATAATATATATATATATATATATATATATATATATATATATATATATATGGCAAAAATATTGTCGGAGTCCTTTAAGTTATTTTTTTAACAAGTTAGTCTTTTATTTTTATTTTTTGCTACAAAGAGGTCCTATTTGTTTTTAAATTGTAACAATCAAGTCCTTCAGTGTTACATAAAGGTACCAAAATTCGTGTTTTACAACAAGTGTTACATAAAGGTACCAAAAGTCATGTCTAACGAAACTAACATCAAAATTAACAATAATCACCACTTCCGAACTAAAATACACACCAACACTATAAAAATCAAAACTAACAACATAATAACATAGACTAGCATCTTCAATATGTTCTTCATCATCTTTCTTAAATGACACATCAGTGTCGTTTGTGCTACATAAGCGTTTTTGAAACGGAGTTTGTGAAAAGGTCAACGGTGAATACGTTAGTGAACATAAAAGACCAAATTATAGAAAAAAAAAAAACATAAAAGACTGACTTGTTATAATAAAATAACTTAAAGAACTCAAACAGTATTTTTGCTTATATATATTAAATTTTTTTTCTTGTTTTTTCAAATCATTTTACTTTTAAAAAATAACGATTGTGTAATTCATTTAAATTTTATTTTATTTTATTTCTAGATTTAGAGTAAAGTTTTTTATAAGTTAAAAATTTGGTAAAGAAAAAGAAAAAAAGAAAAAAATAAAGAGACAAAAACCTAACCTAATAAAAAAATAAAGTATAACAATAAATAAAAAAAAATAAAGGGTTTCTTACATTACATAGTTTTTTTTTTATTATTTGTTTATTGAATTAAAAAAAAGGATGAATGACATAAAAACTAACCTATTCAAACAACTATCAAAAACTATAATTAAACATATATATATATATATATATATATATATATATATATATATATATATATATATATATATATATATAACTTATCTCTAAAAAAACTTTAAAAACACAAAATAAGAAGTGAATCTCAAGACAGTGTTATAATAAGAAAAAATATGCATTGACTAATCTACTTATACATGCATTTGTTTATCTGAAAATGTAAGATATCTTGATTTTAAAGGAATTTATAGCATGTTAAATATTCTTCCATTTAATTAAAAGATGTTACGGGATAATATTTACATTAGAAAATGCACGAATGACCATTAGTGAGTTAGTTTCAAGACAAAGCTATCTCTAACTCCTCCTGTTAGCATATTGATAGCAAGCATGATTTCATGTGGTTCAGCTTAAAATGAGGTGAAAATTTCAATTCTTAGTAGAAAAATCTCCTAAGAATGATCTTAAATCATCTCTAAATATGTCACCACTAAGTTGATATTTCAATACTTTCTCTTGAAACTCCACCTGTGTTACATTTGTCCAATTATAAATAGAAAAGCATCAAATAACTTGTAAGATTCTCTAGGTGCGGGAGGAAGTCAGAATTTGATGTTAAAGAATTTAATAATTGTAACTTTTGAATTGAATAATGCATGTGTTCCTTGAAACAAGTAGATACCATATATATACTAATCGTTTAACATGAAGAATATCTCTATCAAAATCAATTTTACCATTTTAAAATATGATATCATTTCTTGCGTGTCAAGTTTTCTAAAGAGTTATTGTAATGAAAGTCTTGGTCACATTCTAAATTTGTCAGTCTCCAACTTCTACCATAAAGTTTGATTAAACTTTCATAACTAGTATTATCAATGTTCATGTCAATAATCGCTCGATCCATTACAAGAAAAGTAAGGTGTACCTACATAGTCTGCAGTTACCACATCATTATTACATAAAGAGCACCTCGAAACTATATGCATGCCATTTTGAATTAGGCTATCTTTTCGTTGCAATAACATTATGCATTAGCTTCCAAGTCACTAATAACTTAATAGGAGGTATGAACGGATGCCAAATAAATTTTGTCCAAGAAGGCTCATTGTGATCCATCTTGATACAATTGTAGGCATCTTTAACATATATATCACCATTTATAAATTTTGTCCAAAAGAGTCCATCAGTAGTATTAATATCAAATGAACAAGTTGACCTTCAAAATCTCTTCAACAATTTGAGGAGATAAAATGGATAAGCCATGAGGAATGTTTTAATTGATGTCTTGGATGATTGAATTGACCTTAGGAGTTTGCATAATTGAATATCTACTAGTAATACTAGGTGTAAAATCTTTAATTTTGTACCCCCAATCAATTGTTCACCTGCTAAACATTGTTCTTCCCCATTACTAATCTTTCATCTACTATTTTCCTTCAAAAGTAAAAGCAATGCTTAACGGCAAACCATATTAAAGATGAAATATGATGCATGAATGTTTTTTTATGCTTGAAGTATATATTAATAAGCATAAAAGACCATTGATTATTGGTGTTCAATAACTTCCAACAACAAGATAAATAATCAATTTTTTTATTGTCTTAATATCTATCAGAACAAGATCTATTTCACACAAAGGTGAGAAAATAATCTTCTATGATGTAGTAATCAACTTTCTATTGTCAATGCTTTATGTCAACACAAATTCTTGATGCAAAAATCAAGCTTGTTATGAAGATTGATTAGCCATTTATAAATCTTAATACCATACAAAATTTTGCCTTGTATGACTAGATGTATCAATTGAACCTTACCCATCCTAGAAAGAGTTGTGGCCCTTCCAAGTAGCTAGCTTGGTCAATACTCTATCTTCTATGATCTAAAGAAGATGAGTTATAACCTTGCCTTTGAATATAGAAACTCAAAGATAGTTAAAGGCTCCACCATAAAGTTTAAACTTAGTTGGACTCATGTGTTGACTTGAATTATAACCATATTCTTGAAGGAGATGATTAATAACTTGAGAATTTTCCTCGTAAATATTTTCTATATCCATCCTTAACCACTTATTCCTTACATTGTTCCTCCAAAAATAGTCCCTCATATGCAATGTCTTATCTAATAGAAGTTGAGCATTTTTTTTATTAAATCTAAGATCATCATTGTAACATGTATCATTTTAACTTCACCAGTAGCTGGAGTGACTTTAAGATGGATATTTCCAAATATTACTTTCTTCCATTTCTTAAGAATCGGTTTAAGAGATCTCATATTATCATATAAAACACAGATACGGAGACCAACCACACCAATATTTCAATTATCAATAATCAATCATGTGCAAGTGACATCCAGAGTCTAAACCTTCAAAAATTTGAATGACCTAGTTGACTAAAACCTAACTTTGTCACAATGGAGAATAATAGTTGTAACGGTCCGAGTTATTCTTGATCAATGTGGATCGATTGAGTGTTTTTCAATTACCTAGCCTATTTTGATTATAAATGCCTCTATAGAGCCTAACAAAATAGTAAACATCACTTGTCCTCCCATTGGTCTAAGTGTAATAGCTACGACTACTGTCAAGATGCATACACTCATTTTGATTGGTCCAACTAAAAAACTCATCGGTGAAAGTTTTGTTTGGAGGACATCTACTAAATTTGTCATGGCAACCAATAATTGCATTGGTATGTTAAAGATTGGTAAGTTTATTACTTAATTATCCCCGAATTCACGTAGGAGTTATTTACACAATACAACTACAATGAAAATTCTAGTTTGACCCATTTCTATAGATAAATTTACATGTTGTCCATACAAACTCAACACAAAGGAATTTATATTTGTTGCACAAAAAGGTTGTGTGTTTGAATCATGATTCTGTCTAAAATTTGATGACAAACTCTTAAGTATGATTCTTTAAGACATTTGTTATGGAAATAAGCGTAAATCATTGGTTCATAAAATCAAAAACAAGTCATGCTTTTGTTGATAACAAAGATTTAAAATAGCTAGCCTAGTAATATTAAACGTAGAGTATGCACATGTTGCTGATTCAAATTTATTCTCCTTCAAATCCTATAATATATACAAATATAATCGTTATTTTGAAAACTTATAGTTAATATACTATTTTAGGTACTATTATAAAATAATCAATATGTTAAAAATAATATATATATATATATATATATATATATATATATATATATAGATATATATATATATATATATATATATATATATATATATATATATATATATATATATATATATATATATATATATATATATATATATATATATATATATATTAAAGATTCAACTTATTCTAAATAATAGTTTTTAAATTGAATCCAATTTAAAGGTTAAATTAATATTTTACTTAATTACCAATTGGATTAAATTTAAACTAAAATCAAGGAAAAGTTTTATATATATATATATATATTATATATATAATATATATATATATATATATAATATTATATATATAAATATATATATATATATATATATATATATATATAAATATATATATATATATATATATATATATATATATATCTATATATATATATATATATATATATATATATATATATATATATATATATATATATATATATATATATATATATATATATTATATATATATATAATATATATATATATATATATATATATATATATATATATATATATATATATATATTATAATATATATATATATATAATATATATATATATATATATATATATATATAGGAGAGATAAATACAAAGAA